CACTGCTCCTGCTTAAGTGTACAAAAGCAGCCCAATAAATGTGTTTCTTGTAGAGATAACTGCAGAGAGCACTGGTCAGATCTGACTTAGTTGTTCCTACCTAAACAGGCAATTAAAAAATAATTTAAGAACGCAGCAAAATTAACGTGCAAAGTGATGTATGATGAAAGAGCATTAAACAATCAAAAATTCATCTCAACTTTGCTGTGAGTTAACATGAGAAACAGAACGTGCAAATAATTACTTTTATCTATTTTGGCTGTCAGCATGCTGTTGTTCACTACTGGCATCCTCCGTGGGACAAGTTTCGCATCTGAATCCAGAAAACCATGCAAAGACCAACATCTTTCACTTTTCAAATGACATGAGTTACACAAGACTCATGATTATCCAAAGGTCACAGGACAAGATCTCTTCTCTCAACAAAGAGGCTTCTATGTTCTGCTCTGGTGAAGCAGCTGTTGACTCAGATTTCAGTTTATTCAGACACAATATGTGCTCTAAACAGATTCTCAGGCTACATAAATTAGTGTCTCAACTTGTTATCATTTTTCCTCATCATTTTTTCTCTCCTATTGTCTTCTTTATAAAATTAAATCCTTTGTGTTCAACCACAAGTGTCTGCTACAATACAGATATGCTCTCAGGCTAGTGCTGTTACAAACCTTTTCCAGAACTGCTTGGTTCACACAGGGGGATTTTTTTCCCCCTAGCTCAGTAAACTGAATTGACTAAAATATTTTGCTGATAGCAAAGCACAGGGAGCCAAAGGTTTTAACCTGAAAAGTGCAAGGTGATATCTCCAACTATGTTTATCTATGAACTCCTGAAAATGCTTTACACCTGTAAGAAGGTGTCAGTTCAGATAGAATTTCCTGTGCCAAATGAATCCTCTCCTTGGTAATGTTGCCTTCTAAGATCCAAATCCTCAGTAAATCAAAGTGATTAATTTTACACATGAACATCAGCAGCTCAAAAACAGCAGCTGCAGTACCTCCCTCCAGGCATGTCCCACATGCTCCCACCCAACCAAAGTAGCACTGGCATTACCTCACAATGACCGACGTGCTCTGAACCCTCACAGGGTCTGAGACAGACTGGACTGAGAAATCTCTCCTGAAATTCCTCGGTGTGTTCCAGTGACATCCAGCTTGGAGCTGGTCACTACAGGGCACAAATCACCGAACCAGTATTAAACTTCTCGAAAATTAGTAATTTTAACAGATTTAAAGCTTTAAGGTTGGTCTTAGCTCTTTGCCCTGGCATGAGTGTATAGAGAGGGGGCTGATGCCTCTACTTCTAAGCTCCTGCATTATTCCAGAATAGGAAACAAAGCCAGGTGCCAAGGTGGCCATAGACAGGGGAGGCGAAGAAAAGAGGCAGAAGCCAGAGAAGCAGCCGAGAAGGTGGGTTGGTATTTAAATTTTAGCATTTTAGCTCTGAACAAGTAGGGATTTCTGGGAGGAGTGGGAAGAGTGGGAGGGTTTCACCCCTGGTTTTTGAGCAGCACTTCCAGTCAGGCCTTTTCTTTCAGCATGAGCAGTAAGACTGAAATCGGGTTCTGTGAGAAAAGTGCAGCCTTTCCAGCCTGCTGGAGTTGCTTGCTGTATGCTGAGTCCAGAGCTCCTCCTGGAGGTCTGCAGAGTTCCAGCCCTGCCGCTGATGGAGCACACCACTGCTGCTGGGCAGCAGAGCAGCCACACCAGGCACTCCAACACCCCAAAGACACACAGGGAACAGACCATAGGTAGGTGTAGGGTAATACAACAACCCTACACATGCCTATACATCTGCAGTCCCAGCTGAGTTTAATTTGTTCAGCAGCTGCACCAAGTAAGCTTTAGTAAACTCAGTACAAAAGGAAAACTAAGATATCTGGATATTTTTATAAATTAAATGTACCTGAACACTCACTTTACTTCTAAAGTGCATGTTTAATTTTTTGAGAAAAGGGTGCTAAACTAGGGGTAGAGTTGGGGCATCCATGTAAATCCTGTTTGTACCCACAAAACACTCCTTGCCCCATAAGACTTACATGGTAAAAGCTGATGTCACAGCAATGGGAATGGGAAATATTGACACTTATCACCTCCATGGGAGCAGACCACCAGCTCAAACAATTGGCCTACCACCTATTTGATTAAATTTAGCTCAAATCACAGATCCTCAACTTGCCTTTCAACCCTAGGAGAATTGGATGCCTGCCCTTTGAGAAAGCCACCTGAGGGATATCTACACTGCCCTGCTGCCCTAAAAACACCCTGGGTAGCAGTGGCTGCTGAGACAACACAGGCTGTAAGGGGCTGGGTGAGTGTCAAGGCCAAACTCCCCAAGACGGCATTTGCCCAAAGTTTGTCTTGATAAAGAGGAATTTGACAATGAACTCTAGTAAATAGCAACCAGGGAATTATCAGAAGACTTTTAGTTACAGGAGGAAAAGTCAGCTAGCATAGATACAAGCAAAACATTAAAACACCAGTGTGCAGGAGGGGAGAGGAGCAGGGCAGCAGAGGGGCTGTGTGACCCTGCCTGACAGAATCATCTCAGGTATACAAGGTTCAGAAATTTCTAGGCACACATTAGCATTTCATAACTATATAATCTAGTTTTATCTGCAGATATTGATTCTAAGAGTATAATTCAGTGGTGACCAGGTAATTGCATGTTGATAACAACACAAACCATTTAAACTATGATCAAAGTCACATAAACCAGCTATACTTTCCCTACAATACACACCTGACTCAACAGTGCTATGACGGTGGGTCTTGCCACAGTCTCTGCAACGGGGAAAGATGTGAGAAAATATGACAGCTACCTGAGATTATACTACCTATAATTCTTAAGATGTGCTGCTAAACAATTTTTGAGACTAATTTTTTCTCCTTATGTTTCTAAAAAAATGACATAATTAGAAAAAATAGAAGCTCTACATCCTGAAAGATGGTAAGATTTTCTAAATATTCCCCCTGCACACTCATCCTGTCTTCCACCCCCCACAGCTGTAGACACAGAGAGCAGTTCTCATACTACAGCAGTTCCTTGGCATTTTGTGACAAAGCCTTAGGATTTACAAAGAGGAAAAGAGAAGTTGCCCGAGCAATTGAAACCTTTCCACACCAGATAATGAATGATGGTCCCAAATCACTGCTCCAGGATTTCATACATACATGTAAATATATGTGTGTGGTTATAAAAGGTGACATACTATATACACACACAGACTTTAAAGAGATTCTAACAAGATGAATGAAAAAATGCCTTTTGTATTTGTCTCACTTCATCCTTGCCTATCATATTTTTTCTTTTTCATTTTTAAAAGACCTGATACTCTTCCTTTCAAGTAAAGCCTGAAAAGTGAAAAACACATATTTCTGAAACAATGATGAGATCTTTGGGTCAGAGGGGAGGAGAGGGAGGTATTTTGGATATATTAAATTAAAATAATTTCTTGCAACACAATGGTTAAGTGTGAAGGAATGCAACCCAACACCACAGCTTACACTGGGGTGGGGGGTTTTGTTGGTTGCTTTTTAAACCAAATTAACTTCAAAGAAGTCTTGAATTCTAACTGGCTGCTGAAAGATTAATACGCCAAAAAAAGTTTCAAAATATTCTCACATCCTTTAAAAGAGCACTATATCCTAATGACAATGTAAGGAGGGTACTTACAATTTTGCCTGACAGGAAAAGAAATTTAATAAAATCATGTAACACAAACATGACACCAAAATATTTATTTACAGTGTGTGTATATATACAGATGTGAATTAGTTTTACTTTTTATTAATATTTTTTCCCCTTTTTAAAATTATCAGGTTAAAAATGTCTAAGCCTGTTAGGAGAAAAAACTGCTCTCAGAATAAATAAGCAACAAGAAAGGAAGTCAGTTATAGTACACCATCTGCTGCCACAGATCTCCTGTAAAGTATGTTCCAGTTAATAGGGTACATTTACAATAACTCATTGACACTATTCACTCTCGACTGCTTACATACTAAACAAATACCATCTTGGCACGAAGAGAGGCATATGTTCAAAAAGAAAGAGCCATTTGTCCCACTGTTATCTGAATTTACAAAAGAAAGAGCCACTCCCTCAGCTGAATTAAATCGCTACAAAACTTTTTCCCTTGAAGAAAACTGGTGTCCAAAAAAAATATGGCAACAAACACTCCAGTTATGGAGGTCCATGGTGTATTTTGGTTTCTGTACATCACCACAGTGTTTCTGAGTACAATTTCACCAACCTCACATCCTGGCCTATGAACTGGTACATGAGTCTGTCTTCCAGGATCACCAGCCACCATACATAACCTTTCAGAGCAGCTCACTTAAATATCCAGTTTCACCTCTTCACTTTTCAAAAATTTTGTTTTTAAAGTTCTTAGTCTGAGATGAATAAGCTGAACACACCTGAAGCTTCTTCAGGATCAACACTTGGCCAAAACATTGCTGGAGGTCAGCAGTGAAATGCTGGTTTGCAAAGGAGAAGATCTTCTCTACAGGATTTTTTTGTCTCCAGTCAGTGGTGTTCACAGGGAAAGTTCTTATTCAAAAACAGCAGGGCCATATCTTCCACAGCAGACTGAAAGACACTTTAGGTTCAAAATGGATGCTTAGAGACCCATTAGGATGTAGAGCACTTCAAATATGCCAAGAGCTACATAAGAGCCAAGCACTGTTAACCTACTAATTCAACCAAGAACAGAAGCTGGAAGCCAGCATTTTCAAACTAACTATGAGACGATGTTGGCATGGCCTCATATTTAGAAACACCAGAAATGTCCACAAGCACACTGCCAGCCTTGCACAGTCAGGCACCCAGTGTGTGCTAATACATTCTGCATTCAATTCAGTGACCTGCACAAACTGCACACTTTAAACACAGGATTCAAGCCAGAAGGGTTAACAATTGGATTTGAAATAACTTAGAATGTTTGCTATTTTACCAAATTTTCCTGCTTTCAGCTAGCATCTCATGCTGAATTACAGCAACCATTAAAACCAAGTAGCATTTTGTTAATATTTGGTTTCCTACTCCTTGAGAGTTCAAAATGTATTTTTAAATTTCAGGAAGTTCTGTTGGTCTTTTTTTTTCCCCCTGTTTTATTTTGTATTTAAAACAAAAATTAAATAATTCTAAACTTTCTCTACTCTTAAAAAGAGACAATTTTCTTGGTATCACCAAATTTTAGGATAGAATTAACACACCCAGCTTTTTCCAGTAAGAAAATTATCTGACATGGCAAGACTTGATTCAGCTCTTATACAGATACAATCCAAAAGCAATTCCTCCACAGAGAATGAAAGTTCTGAAAAAGTCAATCTCTCCTCGGTATTTATACATTTCGGGTTTCATCCATGGGGCTCAACTCGAAAGGCTCTGAGCAGGCCATGTCTAGAAAAACATATTTGCTTATACTTAACCTAAAATCCACTACACTGAAGGCTACTGAAGCCTGTTGAAGCTGAACACCCAGCAAATCACAGGCTAAAGCCTGAAGGAGAAGGGGTCAGTCTTCTATTGCTGAAGATCTACAGAAACCAAGTCCACCACTATTCACCAGGTGGTTCAGTCATCACAAATTTAAACTCATTTGAAAACAAGAAACCTACATCAAGGACTCTACTTCCTTCACCCCTAGGAACTCCACAGTGTTTTACTATTTCCTTGTAATTGACAACAGGCTACTAGCATAGAGCTCAAGGCTTATTTAATACTTTGTTTTTACAGAGCAGCCTATTTAATTTTGGGGTTGTATTTGAACAGCAATTTCTCTATATATGTAGTACTTCAGCACTCAAGAGTGGCATTTGCTCCTTATACTAAAATGCTGTCAGTTGGACAGTAACACACCAACTTTACAAGTAACCCAGAATCAGCTTTTAACCAGGGTTTTAAAAGGCACTGCAAATGCAACACATTATTTCTATTCACAAACTGAGTAAGAGAAAAGAACCAGATGCTCAGAAATTAAAACTATTTTGAAATTGTATAATTAAAAATGTGTTGCTAATTCCTTCGATGAGAATGAGTATTATCATAGAAAATAAAGACTCATCCTAGAAAGACAAGATAGAAGAGAAGAACACAGGAAGGTCAAATCTCTTCTAGATTTTTGAGAGGGTTAATGAAAATCAGTAGTGTTTGGCAAGAATCTGTAAGAACCCAGACATTTAGCTTTCCTCGATCACTGCAATTCTGTAACCCAGTCAGAAATAGTCCAAAATACAACTCAAGTTGACCTATAGAAGTGCACAGGACATTTTGTCCAGTTAAAACAAAACAAATAACACATCCCACTTCAATAAGCCAACAGAAGAGCTTCCTTTAATATCTAGGACACCATAAGTTGCTCCAGGCAGACTGTTTGGATTTTCATGTCCAAATGAATAGTTGTTAGTTCTTGGGCTCAAAGAACTTGCAAGTGAGGACATGTATTAAGCTGTTTTGCTAATATTCAAATAGTCTGAACCAAATAACCCTCTAGTTATAGGGTCCTGATGACTTACTTAACTTTCTCATTTCAAAAATGAATCCAGCTTTGAGCATAAGCAAGGCATAAGGGTTTTACAAACCAACAGATATGGTAAGATAGTACCTATTAAAAACCTATAATATAACAAATCTCTTGACAAGGCTGGGGAAAAAAAAAAGAAGCCTGAAAGTTTAGGCAACTAATTAGCTCTTCTGTTTGGTGGTTTTTAAGCTAGTTTTGTAATATGGCAGTAACACTAGTCTCAGCAAGATGTGCCATGAAAAGCTCCATCCTGTATGAAATGCAACCACACTAAATCAGTGTGGTTGTAAAACGGCAGTACAGCTCTTTACATTGTGCACTATAATATTTGGTGTTATAAAAAGACCATGCTCTTATGAAGCCCAGGCAGCCAGTTTCTTCATTTCATCTTCATCCTCTGCTCTTTTCCTGGTCGATGCTGCAGATAAAGAGACAATAACCATCAACTAATGTAACAGTCAGAACCATTCTATCTGTTGCATGAGGCATAGTGCTTTTCTGTTTGAAGACCTCAGACCAATTTACTGAGTAGCAAGCCAAACGTGAGTAATGCAGGAATGAAGCTCGTGAGAGATGTGACTGTTTTGCCCCATCATTATTTCCCATAGAACCAAAAGTTCACAACATAGGTCTGATGTAATTCCTAGTGAAAGACTCACACAGAAAAAATATTTAATTTCTAAAGGTTGTCCAGACAGAAAAGGCCCACAAGAATGCTGTCAGTTTTCTCACCACCACATAAATGAGCAAAAGTGATCTATCCTGGCCAGCTGCACATCCTATTACCTTTCCAAATAGTGCTATGAGGTTCTGCACGTGCAAGTCTCTGAATGAACTCACCCCATTTTAATGGGTGGTATCATTTATTAAATTGAGAAGGACATTCCTGAACTTGCTTTGCTCAGGTGACATCAGTTAACTGCTTTGTTCACAGCAACAGCAATTCCCAGCTCTGTATCAGGTCCCACACACACTTTGTACCCAAATCTCCTATCACACATCATCTGCATTCACTAAACTAAAACTTCAGCCAGATTGTCTTCATTTGCTGACCTGCAAACTAGATGCCCAACAGTCCAGGTTCAACCTCGGGCTGCCTCCTCCATCTGTGGGCTGTGCATTTCAGGACCAGCATCTCTCCCACCACCAGTGAACACTGTTACTTTGCTGGGCCCAACACCTGTGTGTTCCCCTCTACAGTAGCCACAGGGCTAGGAGCCACTGTCCTGAGGGGAACTGCAACCACCTTCAGCAACTAAGGGTGGGAGAAGCATCACAGGTTCAGTCCCTGTTCTGCAAGTGTCACAGCTCACTGTGTCACTGGGGAAGGTCACTATGCCTCACTCCACTGCAGTTTCCTCATCTTCAAAATCAGGAGGGCAGCATGCATCTCCAATTAGAAACATTATAGATCCATCAATTGGTCTGACTTTGCTGTTGCTGTGTAACAGCAAACAGAGAGTTTCAGAAAACATGAGCCAGTTTTTCAAAGCCTTGAACTATATAATTGCAACCAGAAGCAATTGCCTGAAGCAACCATACAGACGGATTAAGCAGAAAATTAAAAGAGTGAGAAGTGCATGGAGATGGTCTGGGTTTAATAAAAATGTCAACTGGCACAGCTGGATATGGATCTGGAAGACAATATATGAACAAATCATAACTAGCCAGACTGAATTTTCACTGTTTTTCTAACTTTTTTCCCTAGATGTTCTTCAATTGAGTTCAGTAGATGAGGCCACAGTCTCAGCTTGAACATTTTAAACTGCTTCTCAGGCTTTAAGTGTCATCTGCCAATATCATAGTATCTGAGTTGAGCTGGTCTAGGTAACCTGCTCTGCAGCAGAAACCATAAACAACAACCTTTGTCACATGTGTGCTGTCCTTACCATCAAGCATTTATATTCTTTTACTAATGTCAGTACACAGCAAGACTTTCAACTGGCAGTGAAAAATGTAGTAAAAGTTGGCTACCTCTGGCTGAATTCAAAACAAACAGGGCAGAGCTACAGAAAAATGAAACTACAGCTTAATACCAGGAATAAGCCTGTTCAGCAGAAAGAAAGCAAAGGAATTAAAATATGTCTTTAAATATGTACTTCCCAATGCCTCCTTCATTTCTAATTAAAATACCAGTGGAAAATATCAAACCACTACCCTGCAAAGCTGGATCTTTATGACGTAAACATTTGGAATCTAGGTCAGTCTCTAATTGAAAGACACTAAGGATTTAATTGTCAAAAAGGAAAAAAAAGGAAAAAAAAATCATTCTTCAGTGATCTTACTACGTTTCAGTAGGAGATTCATCAGGATATGTGCAGGGCCAAGTTCCCCAAGTTTGTCACCCCAAATCTACAGAGAATTTGGTCCTAAATGCTTTTACAGAGCAAAATGGAATCCCACTCTGCTTTTTCTGTTAAGCAAATACAAAAATAGGAAAAGTAATTTATAACATTTTAAAAGTTATAACAGAGTTAAATGCATCTCTGAAATCCTCTTTTCCTCTCCCGTTTCTCACAGCATGGCTTAATCATGAGAAATGTAAAATGGCAAGCAGGCATTTTACCAGGGCGAGAAGGCAGTGATGTGGACGGAACACTTGGCAACCTGACATCTCTCATTCCCTTGTTCAGCTCTTCTTGCTCCAGTTCTTCTAATTCTGCCATCAACTCATCCTAAATTCAAGGAAAACATTATTTACACATACTGACAGTGACCACACGCAAGAGCACATTTAACCGCCACAAAGCAAAGTAGTACTGAAAAAACAGTTTACACCTGAAAGGACATATCAAGAAACAGCATATTAAAAGTGTAATTTTTACTAAGTATGGGCAATTAGGTAAACCTTAATAGAATATTGAAAATAAGACTATGAAAGTTAGAAACAGGACAAGGAATAAAATTAGAAATTAACAGCAGTACAATACATGCCAAAAAGGCAAATATGGGAATAAAAAGCCTCTCTGCTGTCCTCAGATTTGTTTCAAATCTAGAGCCTATACCCTTCAATGGATTCTAACTTTAATGTGCCATTTCTTCCTTTTAAAAGGCAAACACCTTCCACTGGTTATAAGGCAGACTGTCATTAAACATTACGCTTCAGCCCTATCACATAAGTCCAGGATTATATGTGATTTCAAAGCAGCACTGAAATCAAAACTGTCCTCCTGGGTCCTGTTATTCACTCTTGAAGCATGCACCATTCATGGGCTTTTAGGTGCAGAGGCTGATTTGGACAGATTATCTAATCCACTCATACAATGCTGAAAATAAAAAGGCTGTGTGCTTTTTAAAAGTAAGGAACTTCTTCCTCGGCTGAAATTTCCCAAAGAAAGGAAGCTAAATGTTACATATCTGTAGAGAAATGGACCTTTGCCACATTGATAAAATGGTTTAAAAGAAACCATGGGCAAAAACAACTGGAGAGGGGCAGGGGAAGTGTCAAAAAAAGTAGTAAAGTAGGACTCTTAGGTACTCAAACGGGCTTTGCCTACACATTTATGCTTTGTTTATCACCAGTGTAGAAGTTGAAATGATAGTTGCATAGCCACCACAGGACTTTATACCTGGATTTGCTTTCTCATGGTTTTATAATTTAAGGCAAACATACACTGTGCCAACCCAGGGAGAAGGAACTCTATGTTTCTGTGCCTGAACATGAGAAATCACATGCTTCCATGGTCTCCTTACAGCCACGGCACACATGTTAAGAGAAAATGCATCTAAGTGCATGGAAAAAACATCCTTCAAAAAAAAATTAAGTATTATCCTTCAACACAAACCATCTTATATCCCAGCAATTAAGTCATTGATTCTAGCACTCTTAAGGTGCAGTAGCCTGCAAACCAGGTTTCCCAGTTACTGCCCGGTGCTATAAGCATTAGGCTCCTACGCAAAAGCTGGTACAACAATGCTCCAAGTGACAGGGCCTTATTTCCCAAACAGAAACAATGCACATCAGCTTCAACTGCTATCCCTTAGAAACCTCCAGATCAATCTACAACATGCTTACTAAGCTTAGAGTCCAAAAAGTTAAGCACTGTTGAACTGTAAGATACTGTACAACAGTTTGGGGTGGCAGGATGTTTTTCAATTATTTGAAGATCAGGCCAAATCCCATCCCTTGTGCCAGTAATGACTAAATGCTTCTTGGAAAGTCTACTTACATTCAAAGTGCAAATACAGGAAAGCAGGTAATGGGAACAAAGTACAAAGAATCATTCTTATTTTCAACAAATTAGAACTGTTGAATGAAATTTCCTCATCCTCCCAATCAAGCAAATATGTGCGATATAGCATTTATATTTTTCTTTGTTGTCAATTTGGGCACATAGGAACAAATTAGTTGGGAATAGAATGAATGGTTTGAGCATTCAGGAGATTCTTCAAATTATTCTTAGTGCTTGGCCATTTTGAAACAAAATTGAAAAACAAAACAAAACTGGTTGTGATACTGAACTTGTTACCCATCTCTGCATTCCAAAGATTACAAGAATTTTGAGTAACCTTGACCCTCGAGTCCTCAGCCATGGCTGGATCAGAAATAAATTATATCCTGTTTAGATGTAAAAAATCAAATCTCGGGGCACTGGATGAAAGCTACTGCAACACACTTTGAGAAGGTCCTAAATGCCTTGTGAGGGTTTCAGAAGAAAAGAGCTCTAGAATGAAACCTTATTGCCTCCAACAGGTATTACTTTTACCTATGAGATCTACTTCTGTGGTCTGGGCAACAGGGAAAGGACTTGCATTTCCAAGTACCAAAAATGACCTTAAAAAAAATGGTCCAATATTCAGAATTATGAACAACAGCCAGTCCATGACACAGGGACATGCACTTAAGTCAAATGAATGTCTATTTGGAGCAACAAAAAATTATATGTTTCAGTGTCCACTTGGAGTAGTACAAATTATATGTTTTAGTGACCTTCTTTCAAGGCTCAAATGAGAACAATAACTAGAGGAGTGCAGTTAAAAATATTTTTCTTAAAATTTATACAAAAATAAAAATATTTTTTATATTTTTACATTTACAGTTTTTACATTTAGTACACTATATATTTTATATATAATACTTTTATTTAATTTATATATTTATATTAAGCAATTGTTCTATATAGGGTAAGCTAGAACCAAGGAATTTCACATCCACACTTCTTGAGAAACAAACCACTGCACAGCAAAATAACTATGGAGTTAAAACTCACAGGCCTGAAGTACTAACCTCATCAAACTCATCACCAAAGGTGGCTCGGTTTGAGATAGCATCTGAAATTTCCTGGGCAACATCTTGCTGTTCAGTGATATCTTGCATCAAATCATCGATTTTGTTCAAATCCCTGGCAAGGTAACATGGAAACATTTTTTAAAGATATATTATTCAAATCCTACAGAACACATTCACTTGAACAGACCCTTTTATGTTTTTATGCCCATGACTCTATAAACAGCAGAATTCACAGGGAATAATTTTGTTATTATTAAAGTCAAACTGCAGCAGAATGTGTCTCTCCCTCTCTGTGCTCCTCATAGCTCTGCCAGCCACTCACAGCCCATGGGCAGATCCACAAGGTCAGCATCTTTACAGCCTTTTGGTACTTAAAGAGGGTTTATAAAAAAGATGTGGATAAACATTTACAGGGCTTGTTGTGAAGGGCAGAGGGTAACAGCTTTAATCCAAAAGAGGGTCAATTCAGATTTGATTCAGGGAAGAAGTTTTTAACAATGAGGGTGGTGAAGGACCAGCACAAGTTGTCCAGAAATGGTAGCTGTCCCATCACGACAAATATCCAAGGTCAGGTTGGATGGACTCTGAGCAACCTGATCAAGTTGAAGATGTTCTTATTCACTGTAGGGTGTTTGGACAGGATTATCTTTAAAAGTCCCTTTGAACTCAAACTATTCTATGATTTTATGGATCTTTTTTGATGTTAAGCTTTCACCAGAACTGGGGGGAATTTAACAGAATTGTACCCCATTTAAAGGTTTCCCCTCATTGTTAACTTTGCTATTGTTTCTGTTCCTGTTTATTTCTCCCAGAACAACTCTTCTGATTTAACTCTGTTTATTCAGGCAGAAAAACACCCCTTGAAACAATATAGGACATATGAAAAAAAAATAAAAAGTAATTCTTTTTTATGCAGGAGGCATGGGGAGAAAAGAGGTGGATCTATTTTGAATCCCTCGCTCCAGCTTATGGATTCTGAGGAAAAGAGTCCACCTAGTTTCTATGACTAGATTTTCTTCTAGACAAACCAAGGGCAGAGGTACCCTCCATTGCCAAGACAAACTTAAGAAAACAGATTTCACTAGTTAAGTGAACTTCCTTCTAGATTTATTATTAGGAAAAGATACTCTTCTGCCAAATATAACACTACAGCATTCCTGACATTCAATGCCAAAACAAAAATGAAGTCAAAACTGTCTAACTTGACGCGACAGTCTGTAGTAATGGAATAATTTGAAAGTGGTTAGGAAGTTCAACTTGGAAGCTACTAGAAAACACTTACATATTTTCATGTACTTTTTTCATAGCTTGTGCAGCATAACCCATATTCTTGAGCACTTCTGTGTTGGTGTGGGAATTTTCCAATGCCTCTCTCTGGAACTCAATGGTCGAAAGTGTCCCATCAATTTGATTCAACTGTTTCTCATATCTCTTTTTTCTCTTCAGTGCTTGTAAGGCAGCTGGAATGGGAAGAGGCAAAGTGCACTGTGTGTTTTCATAGCAAATGCAAGGACAAGTAGTTCAGCACTAAGCTGACCTGCAGAATTTATAGTTCTCACCCTCCTACCTTACTGTGAGAGAGACAAACTTTGGCCACACCAGATTGGCAGCCTGTGAATCACCAACAGGCTGTTGCATGAGCACGCTGGGAAGCCTCTTTTAGAATAACTCCTTTTAGCACCACAAGGAAAAGCAGCTTCTTCCTCCACTGTGGGAGACCTTGAACTCCATCCTGTGCACAGAGGCAAAGCAGGGAAGATGGGAAGGAAAAAGAAAAACATCAGAGAGAAGGCAAAAGGGAGGAAACAGAAGAGAGAAGAGTACACTGCAAAATATAAGTAAAACTTAAGGAGGACAGTCATGAAGATCTGCCATGGTAACCACAACTCCACCAATGGCACTTTCTAAATTTTGTCTCAGCAGCAATAACTGTGCAGTGCAACCAAGACCCCAAATGGCCCAGCCAGGCAGATGGGTTAGATCAGAGAAGGATTTGCATTTCTCCAGCTTTTAGCTATCTATTTCTTACAATCACTTAGGAACATATTCTTTAAACCTTAGAATTTGAAAACTTTGTAGACACAGGCACAGTCAAATCCAGCTACAGCCCATTATCTTTGTAAATTGTCAAGATTAGCATTTTATATTCACTAAATTATGAGCAGAGTACTCTGCCCAGGGTAAATCATTACCAGAATAAATTCACGTGACAAGCATGAGGAGAAAAGAACTTTCTCCTGGCCTCAGGGTGTGGAACACACACAGTTTTGCCACAAGCATTTCCTGATGACAGTCCTTTCCAAGCTACGCATGTGCCAGCAAAAAAACCCCACCAAACAAAGCCAAGAGACTGAGTTAACCCATTGTTTGGTTTCTTCCAATGCTATTAGCACCCCCATTCCTTCCTTTGTCTCCTACAGTTAATTTTTTAAACAGATTCAGAACCTGCAAGCCCTATCAGCCCTGCATCCCCCCCAAACTCAACCATCAGCAGCAGCTACTCTTTCAATCCTATAAAATTGCCCATGTGCAATAACACTGAGCTTTGACACAGGGGTATACAACTTTTCAAATGAAATCAGGATTCCCCCAAGAAGGCCACAAAGATTTATGGTGTGTAACAGCACACTAAAAAAATTAATGCTTTGTTGACAAAGGCTTGAATCAATATGATCAAAATTGCTCATCATGATCTGCACAAGGACAGGCATTCACACAAGTGAAGATGCCTTCCACCACCTGCAGTGAGATGTTTCAGGACAGCAAACCACAATCCCAACAGATTAATCATGGCATTCAAATCCAAGATTTTCCCAGGTTTTGGGAGATGGTTCAAAGATCATGCATATTCTGAAGAAGTTGCACAAATACCAGATGATGTCATACACACAGCAAATGTAAGAATAATAAAATTCTCATTGGCATATATACTTAATACTTATATTTTGATTTAATCCCAAACAATTTTTACCTACTTATTATTTCCCTACTTATTTATGCTTAGTATTGGTAGAGTTAAGACACCAGCCACTTCCTTAGCTTCCATTGGATCAAATTTGATCCTAGATTCATAGGTTAGGAAGCTAGAGGTTCCAGACAAATGTAATATGTAAATGAAATTGTGTGTAACACCAGCTGGGCCAGAGAGGACTCCGAGACCCTGTGGACTGAGGAGCACTAAGGAGCTGATGCAGAAAGACTTCAGCTGGAGCAAGCATCTGCCATGGGGCAGTCTTTCTTGTCAGTGTTCTTCAGAAATAGGACTCTGCAGTGGTGCTGTTATTATTGGCTGCTCGCAGAGAAAATGGATTTCCTCAGTTACACACAAAGCAGTTTTCAAAATCCTGAAGATCATTTAATTAAACCACACCCAAATCAAGAAAACACAGGAGAAGCTAAACTCTCTGATTTCAGATATTCATAAACAGCTTTTCCTAATTATTGTGGTGCAACATATTATCTTCCTTCTCTCTAGTTTTACCAATATCTTACAGAATAAAGCACTTCATAGGAAATAAATTCATACTCCTTCCTTATCAACCAAAGCATTATCAATTCTCACACCACGCAATATGATTTTCCTGATTTGTGTTAAATGAACGCCCTTTATTGAAGAGTATTTTGCTACAGTAGCTCCTATCACTAATTTAATTTTATGACAATTTCTCATAATTTGAAATCTATTTTTCTGTGTTTTACAAAGTACCTAGAACTTCTATTCTTTTCTACTGCATATTACAAGCATTTTCAAATTTGTATGCAAGTCTTACAGGATTGAAATTCTTCTGCTTTATAATGCTACCACATTCTAATTAGCAAACTGGAGAAGAATGTGTCTATTAAAATATAATGGAATTGAGCAGAGAACAGAAACTCACTTCACTGAAAGTCTAAGAATGGCACTGAAAAACGGTGTTCCCCATTCCAAAGATCTCAAAGAAGGAAGACAGTGTGGGGAGGATGAGTTTGAGCAGAGATAGAGTCTGAGTAAGCAAGTGTAATTAACACCAATTCATCCAGGAAGAGGTGGAGAGCTTCTCCAGGAAAAAAAACAAAAAAACAAACAAACCAAAAGCGGTCTCATACACTTCTTATTTTGTGCTCCAAATAAGTCAATTGGACTCCTGAATTTTATAATGGTCAGCAGTTGGCTGAGCTTTAAGCACATTTCCTGTACTCCTGAGTCCAGTAAGCAGGATACAGCTCATAGATTAGGAACCACTGCTTTTAATACGAGTTTTTATAGTCAAGGTGTCTGGAACAAAGAAGACTGTGATGTCAGTTTAGGTCTGCATATTAATGAGCTCCTTTTATTAACATACAGAGGGCGCTTTTCCAGTATCGCGACAATGCTGGCACTTCATTAAGGAAGCAGAAATGGCCAGCTGGGCAAAAAGAATCCCGGCCACACTGAATATCCAGATTTCAAAAGGCAAAACAGAAGTAATGACATAGGAAGAGTTGTGGCATCCTTCTCACGGTTTCATGACAGATCAGACTGAAAAGCAACAGTGCAGTAACACCACCTTTACGTGCCAAACCTACCACCAACACCCATCAGTACAGAAAGCACCAACGATCTCATCATCTTCTGAAGCAGAAATAAAACTATTGTCTAGTAATCCTTATAATTCCCATGAAGAAACTACTGAAGTAGGAAAACAGTGTTTCTTCTGAAGATGTGACACGACTGTGAAAATATCAGGTCTCACTGATACAGTGAGGATACACACACAAACCCCCACCTCAGGACTGCAAGGGATTCGTGGGCTGCAGCTTCTGATCTCCCTCACTCCGGGGACAACAAAAGGCAATGCTGCTGAGGCCATAAAAATCATAGGGCCCTAATTAGGCTCATTATCAGCACTCATAGTCCTTAAAGCCTTGTGGAGGAAGCCACATGCAGTTACAACTGAGGAGCTAAATCAAGAACAATAACAAACTGGACCAGTTCATGGCAAGCTACTTGAAATGTGATCATGAAAGTCAGAGAACAATCACTGTAACTCACAGAGCAAAGACAAGCCAAGGGCTTTCCTTTATGTCCCTGCCAGAAACCCTCACTCCCACCCCGTCCCACAGCCTTCTGTAGGTATGACTGTCCTGTCCAGCATAACACACAACTTCCACACCTTGTTTGGCTTCCACAGCCTCCTGGTTACACCTAACTCACTGAACAGGAATGCTGCACGGCTACACAAGCCCAGCCCAAGCATAACACACAACGTATTTAGCAGCATCTACTTGTGAAACTCTCCCTGTTATTCCCACTTTCTTCATAGGTTTTGTCCTCAGTAGTACTATGTGGTTCTTTATGTTAAGATTTAATCCTATTCTGGATGGGTTATATCAACTTTTTTTTTTTATTACTTTTTTTATATTTTTAGGATCTGTGAAAGACGCCGGGCTGAAACAACACTTATTTGTGCGTATGTTATTTTCACAATTACAAGCGTGCTTTAGAAAACACGTTTCCTTTTAAACAAGTTCTCAAATATTCAGTATCACTTCTTGTTCTTTAAATTTTCTTCTACATCCTTCAAAATAATGGAGAAGAAAAGCCAATATGTAGATGGAGTTAGCAGCTATGCACTGGCTGAAACTGAGAAACTCCCAAAAAGTACAGCAAGAGATTTAAAAAAAAGTTTCTTCCTGGAATGGAAAGACAACAGAAGTCAGAGGTAACTGTGAAAAAAATACTGCTTTTCATGACATAACCTCTTCAGGAGGAATTTCAGCAAACAAAAACCCCTGAAGTGGTCTAGCTGCAATTAGATATTAAGGGGTAATCCTGGAAATGTATCACCTCGAAAGTACAGCTAATTTCAGATTAGGTGCAAGAACTGCAGAGATACTTCATAAAGGAAAAGCCAGAAGTATTTCAGTGATGTTTCACATCTATTGCATGGCTACAGCATTACAGCTTTTAGATGAAGTTAAGCCTACTGATGTCACATGAAACCCATTCAAGAGTCATATGAAGTCATGAGAAATTGCTGGTGCCTGGATCTGCTCTTTCTTGTGTTGGTACAACTCACTCAGACTCATGCACCTAAAAAACAAGTGAGATCTACTAATTTGGTGCATTTTCTATCCCTAGATACATCTTTCTCCAGTTGCAGACAGCGCCATTTTAGTCTCCATAGTCTTCTATAAAGATGCAATTAAGAAAAAAAATCCACATGAAAAATTACCAGTGATGTCCCTCTGAAACATTCACTTCGACAAGACAATGTAGATTAAAAGCTTTATTGTCTCATTTGTGTGTATGTTTACATAATGGTACAACAGATGCTGGTTAGCTCAGGTTTTCTTTGAGCTATACAGTCCACTAACTAAAATGCTATGTCATATCTAAATCAACAGTAATTAAACTGCAAAGCAATTGACATATCAAATGAAGACATATTACTGGGGATTTAAGTTCACTGACTATCCTGCTAAATCTAAGCACTTTGGCACGGCAAGGTTATATTTTAAACAATATATAGTTCACATTGTTTCTCCTCTGACTGTACTTAGGTTATCCCATTTTGGTTTTAAAACCATTTTGGCATGAATAAAAACTGCCACACTGCACCTTTAGCCCTACTCTTTCCAATTTACTGTTCTTAACTGTTGGTCCCTTAGCAAATGACAAAATAAAAGGCAGTTATTTTTAACCACGATCAGCTCAACACTACCGTTTACAATACAATTCCACGAATAATTACACAGACAACAAACTAGGGCAATTGTATATGGAGCACTGCCATGGAAATAACAATCCGGGAGAAAAGCTTCAGATATCAAATGCTGCACTCTTGAAGCAAAAGGACAACTAACACCTGAAACGACCATAACCAGCTAAGTTAAAGAAGCAGCAGATGCACCTTTTCCCAACAAATTCTCATTCCTGTGTCCCACTCTCTCCTTCACAGGTCCACAAGCACTCATGTAGCTATCAGGTCAACTGGATAAGTGGAACTTAAACCATCCAGGGTAAAAAAATAACCCAGACAAAGAAAAACACACTATTTTACCATATCCAGCTTTCTGAAACACACCCTTCAGGGAGGTCTGCTAAGGAAAAGGAAGGGAGCAGCACAAGGGTAGGAGCGAGGCAGGAAATGCCTCTTCTTTCTGAAAATGTGCCCGCTTATAGTACAGGTTTGGGATGAAGTTCCAGAGCAGTGTGTCTAGATTTATCCAGGAATTACTACAGTCATAGGAATCAACCTGTTTTCTTGCACCAGCCCTGCAACTCAGGCTTTTGAACAATGAATTCAGCCCCAGGAGCCGCCTGGTCACTTTGTCCCACAGCAAATTAGTTTCCAGCTGGATCACCTTCCTGAAGTAGCTCACAGTGACAGTACAGAGGTGCCAGTACCTGAACAAGGGAACAAGAGACACTCAGCTGGAGCCAGGGGAGTAGAAAGTGTGAGACTGGGACAACTGGAACAGCTGTGGATGACAGCTCCCATCTTCTTGAGCAGCTGGCTCAGTTGATCTCTCAACTGACTTTACTCCTCCAACTGTGCCCTCAAATCCATCCCATCTTGATCCACGATTTTAAATCCATTTAAACTAAAAGTTAATTGAGTGAAACTGCCTTTTGCCAATAATTATTAAGTGCTAAAGTACTACAAATACATTAGAGGGCTAGTTAGGACACCTCTAACACACGGCTTCACACAAATTCAAAGTCACAGGGCATTATTTTTTAAATTACTGAGTAACAAAACGAGCAGGGAAAAGATCTACTTTCTTGTTACATCATAAATCTTTAATTCAAAATGTTCCTCTGTTTGGAAGCATTTAAATTAAAATACAGCTCAGAGTAGACAAACAGGCCTTGTGACTTCAGGAAGTAATTAACTTGTTTCTCTGAGGCCTCTATATCCCCAAGACACTGACTACCATCATTCGCTTCCCAGGGATGACAACATCAGTATACACAGGAGACACATCTTCTGACCCCTTAGCACCCTCTCTTTTGTAGCTAACAGCATCCCAGAGCAGTAGTCACTAATGCTCTAAGCTATAATTCTTTTTTTTGTTGCAGATATACTTTTACATTATTTGGACAGAGCATTGCATCACTTTGTTCCTCGGTTGTCAGCAATGGGGACAATGTGCATTGATTCATGAATGTACAGAATATCTGCACATCCTTCATCTCGTTCGCCACCTGCTCAGCCAATGCTGAGTCCCCAAACAGCGATTCCCTTCCCCTCGCTGAGCAGCAGCACTTTGCCCTCCGTGTATCCAGCCAGTGTCTGCATCCACTGTGGTGGATAGCACGAACAGGAGACTCGTACAGGAAACCAGATAGTAAATTTCTGAGGAGTAACAAATTCCCATCCCGCTATATGAATCCACAGTTCATTAAACACTACTAGGAGATGCCAAAGACCAAAACCACCTCCTGCCGTCGGGTGTGGTGATACTTGCTCGGAGTCCGCAGCCAAAGCACACTGCACACCTGCGAGCCAGGTGCCCCGGCCCAGCCACACCCCGGCGAGACCCGAGTGCCCCGGTACCCCGGGATTTAATCTCCCGGCCCGCACTCACCTCGCTTGTTCTTGGTGCCGTGCTGCCGGGCTACCGCCAGCTCCCGCTCGATCCGCGTCTCCAGGTACTCCTGCTTCTTGCTGAGCATCTCCTCCGTCTCTCGCAGCCGGGCCAGCGCCTCCTGCGGCGAGGGACCCCCGCGACCCTTGGAGGCGGCCGAGCCGCCCCCTTTGAAGAACTTGGAGATCTTGCTCATGGCGGCGATCCCGGCTCGGCACCCGCCGACGGAAAGCTCTGGCCAGCCCGGTCCTCGGGAGCCTCGCCACTCGGCACACGCCGTGACAGCACTTCCTGAGCCCACGGGCGGCGGCGGCACCGCACCTGGCGGCGGGGCGGGCCCGGGGGCGGCTCCGCAGAGCCCGAGCTGCTGGTGCCCTCAGCCAGCGCCGGGTAGAGCGGCCGGCGAGCTCCGCGGGGCCGCCGCAGAGTCCCGGGCCGGCGCTGCGGAGGCGGCTGCCGAGCCTGTGCTTCCCCCCTCCCATGTCATGGAATCGCAGAATGCACATGTGGTCCAGCCCCCTGCTCACGCAGGCTCATCCCAGAACACACGGCACAGGATTGCATCCAGGCGGCTCAGTATCTCCAGGAAGGGAGATTGCACACCTTTCTGGGCAACCTGTTCGACTGCGTGGTCACCCACACAATATAAAAACTTCTTGTCCATATTCAGGTGGAAATTCCTGTGCGTCACTTTCTGCCTGTTGCCTCGTCCTATTGCTTGGCACCACGCAGAAGAGCCTGGCCCCAGCCTCTTGGCACCCTCCCGTAAGATGCTTATAGACATTGCTGAGGTTGCCTCTCAGTCGCTTCTTCTCACGGCTGACGAGGCTCAACTCTCAGTCTTTCTCCGAAGAGAGATGTTCCAGTCCCTTGATAAATTTTGTAGCTTTCTGCTGGATCCTCTCCAGGAGCTCCACGTCTCTCTCTCTCTCTCTCGGGGGAGCCCAGAATGGGAGACAAGCCTCAGGAAGGTTTATCGGGAAGGCATCACCATCGGGCATAGGCGTGCACGCGGGTCAGGGCTGGGAAAAACACTGAATTCTGTAGGAATGTGTTTTTTTACAAAAGTGGTGGGTGCGCCGCTAAGGAAATCTCAGTGGCATCAACAGGTTACAGGGCGCATGAAGTTCTTCGGGAAGCCGGGCTACCTCTGCTCTGCCTCCGGGAACAGCCTCTGCCCCGAGGGACGACGCAAATGGGGGCACAGGTAACACACAAAACATGCTTGTTTGTTTGTTTGTTTGTTTTCGCCCTGGAACAGCCCGAGGAGCACCAGCCGCGCCTCTGGGCCCACTGAAGGCTGAGCCTTGGGCCGACAAGGGCTGCAGCCGGTCCCGCCGGGATCCCCGCAGCTCCGAGCCGGCGGGGCGGGCTCCGGCTCGGGCTCGGGCTCGGGCCCTGCCCGGTGTGGGCGGGTCCCCAGCGCCCCCGGCCCCGCCTCCGCCCCGCCCGCCCCGGGGCGGGTCCCCAGCGCCCCCGCCCCCGCCGCTGCTCCGCCTCCTGCGTTCGGCGGACATGGCGGAGCTGGAGCTGGGGAAGCACTGCGGGGTGCCCGAGTGCCGCCAGCTCGGTAAGGGAGAGCGCGGCGGGTCCTGGCCGAGACGGGGATGGTGGGGATGGTGCGGGGGATGCCCCCCGCTCGGGGAGTGCTCTGTGCTGCTGCAGCCCTGCTCGGTCCAGTGCCAGCACCTGTCACCTGGTTGTGTCACTGGGTGGTTAATAGCCCGCTTGCCCCTTCCTCACGCTTGCCTTCAGCGATCCTGGGGAGTGCGACTGGAAGTGTAACCTCTCAGAAAGAAGCAGCAGAACCGCCTGTACCGAAAGCTGAGGGACCAGTCAGAGATGAAGGCATCGAAATGGTCGTGACCTGAGCTGTGTGGTCCAGTTGCGTGTGGTTTGTCAACATAAAATCCGAAGGATGGAGAAACAGAGTAGTGGGCTGGACCTGGCATTTGCTGCCATTAATGAGTGTTCGGCAGACAGTGTAGTGATTTTATCTGTAAACATTTATGTGGTAGGCAGGAGATGTATACAGAGGCTTAGGAAGTGTATGCAATTTTAATCACCCAAAGACAGTATGTATGATATGATGTGAAGAAGGGACAGGATCATTATGGCTGTCCAGTGGAGGAGATGCTCTCCCTTCGAAAGAGCCAGCATTTCCTCCAGTTGGCAGCCCATTAAAAAAATACAAACTGTCCACTGTCAGTAAATACTGTTCTGAGTGGTCTCGCAATAAATTCAGTTTTTTACATAACTAGTAATTTTTATTGCAAGCCATCTGTTGCAGTATCATAACTTGATATTGAAACAAATGGAATTAAAAGCCTAATTCCAACTTCTGGAATGTATATAAGTATAATTTACCTGCTCATACATTTTTCTGTAATACTAATTAGGGGGAGTTAACAAAAGCCACTTCTGGCTGAAGTGTAGATACAGTTGCTAAGTGTTCTTACAAATATACCTACCCTGTGATGTTGGTAAGCAAAAGTTAATTATGTGAAAATTAAGCTAGGAACTATTAGCAAAACAACAACCATGTTGTCTTAACTGAAAACAAATCTCTGTTTCAGATTTTCTTCCCTTTGTATGTGATGGCTGTTCAGGTATCTTTTGGTAAGTTCAAAGAATCACAAGAGTATCTCAAGTTGAAAGGGTCCCACAAAGGTCAACAATCCAACTCCCTACTCCTCACAGGACTAAAACTAAGCATGACTAAGCGTCATTCAGACAATCCTTGCAACAGGCTTGGTGCCATGACCACATCCTTGGGGAGCCCATTCCAGTGCCCAACCACCCTCTCCAAGAATCTTTTCCTGATGTTCAACCTGAACTTCCTGTGACACAGCTGCTTTCCATTTCCTCATGTTGTATGCTGGTCACCAGGATTCCCTCATCCCAGGTGAAGAATCCTGCACTTGCTCTCATTAAATTTCATATAGTTGGTGACTGCCCAGCTCTCTAGTCTGTCCAGAATCTCTCTGTGTGACTTCTCCATGCTCAAGGGAATTCACAGCTTTTCCTGGTTTAGGATGGTTGGCAACCATAACCATGTATCCAGATAATTTATAAAAACATTAAAGAGCACTGGCACTAAAATTAAGCCCTAGGGAACTCCACTGGCCACCAGTTTGAAGCAGTTGCATTAACTGTGACTCTCTGAGCCCAAACCATTAGCCAGTTGCTCACCCATCGTGCTACAGACTTGTCTAGCTGTGTGCTGGATCTTTTGTCCAGGACACTCTTGAGAGACAGTCTCAAAAGCTTTGCTAAAATGCAAAACATCACATCTACTGCCTTCCCAATGTCAACTAAGTGGGTGACCTTGTCACAAAAGGAGATGGCTGATTATGTTTTCTTCTTGAAAAAAAATTTGAGGTTTCTTGTAAGGTTGAAAGCAAGGCCTGCACTTTGATTTACACTTCAGATTAGCAGAGGGCAGCTGAGAGAAGCTCAGAGACTGGGGGCAGATTTCACTTCTAACATACCAGAAGCCTTCAAGGGATTTTTGCCATTATGGAAGGTGAAAATCCATTAAAACAGACAAACTCTGGTTGCTTTGAACTGAACTCTTAAGCATGCTAATGTCTTCATGTACTTTAAATGGTTTGTTTATCTTGAGGCATTAGTTCCAAAAGCTAAATATTTTATAATCTAAGAAAGAATATGATCTATCCATTCAAAAAGTGAAATGCATAGGGTAGAAGAAACTTTGGAGAAGATTCATTGTCTAATTGAAGTTTTGCCATGATAAAACTTGTCAGATTACTCTTTAAACACTTAAATCTTTTCATATGCAGGTTTTTTTTTCCTGAAATGTTGATAACAGTGTGATATTGTCTTCTTTTTCCACAAAGCCTTCAGCACAGGAGCCGGGATGCTCATGGGTGTTCTGAGGTAATCTAATAAAATATGACAGCCTTAAATTAAAATTCCATGCAGCTTAGCTCTATGTTTTCAGACTAGATGAATGCATGTGGTATATAAGTATGAATTATTTAACTGAGAATCTGAAAAGCTTTAAAAAATGAATTTACTCTTTTTCTTCCTCTCAGAAATAAATTGACTTTGAGTAGGATGATGGTTCTTCTTCTGCCTCTGACCTAAACATAACCAGGGCAAAAATAGGAGAGAATAGCTGGACCAGGTTTGCCCATAGAAAGGAGAGCTAGCACAGATCTTTGGGAAAGCTGGGATGGTAACTTATATCTGTAGTATCTGTTTATTTACACAAAATATTTTGTACTTCTAGGTGAATATAAGAAACAGTTCTGTGAAACCTGATCAGCACAAATCTTACCCATGCTCATACAAGGACTGCAATGGAAAGGAGCTTTTACCAGTGTTATGTCCTTACTGTGAAAAACATTTTTGTCTCAGGTGAGTGGAACAGAGTGTTTAAACATCAATATTCATTCACTAATGTATGGAAAAGTCAATAGAAGTTTTACTTTGTTGTTTACAGACATCGTCATCAATCAGATCATGAATGTGAGAAGCTGGACACACCAAAACCTCGAATGGCTGCCACCCAGCAGCTTGTTCAACATATTATAGGCAAGTACAGAGGGATGTATATTCTTTTTCTTATATTTTTTTCCAAACACTATTTGAGCCTCTAACCTCCTTCGAGGGGTCAGGTTTGACCAAATAAGAAGAAAGGATGGGAGTTCCTTGGTTAACTAGCCCTAACCTTACATGTCAGCATTTAATACTGTTCATCTAAACTGAACCAAAACAACAGTACAAGGAGAATCTCTAAAGAATAAATGGGGCGCAGGTTTCTTTCAGAATTACTGTCTTGTTGTCATTCTACAAGTACTGTAATATAATCAGTTGTACCTAGCCATTATTATTTATGTATTACTTCATGTGCAAATAATGCAATTGTGTTGGATGTGCATATCAATCTGCTGGGATCACACCTACACAATCAAGATGGCCAGAAAAGTCTGATTCTACCATGCAGGTTTTGCAGGTTTTAAACAAGCTTTAGGATGGAAAAGCTGTGGGGTTATGTGTACAAAGGAGGACCTGAAATGTTGCCATATGAATGCTGTGATGGCCAAAGGTGTAGAAACTTAAAAATTTTTATCTATTTGGCTTTTGCAGCCTGTGTTTACATGGTGATAATGTTCATCTACCTTTCAATATAAAAGAATTCTGCTGGAACTAAAAATTCCAGTACATGACTTTGGGAGAATATGAATAGACACGAAAAGGGATAGGATCCTTGGCAATACAATGAGACCCAACAGACTAAGTGGGTCTATGTCATAGAATATGCTCAGGAAACTGTCAGAATGATCACACTAACAGGAATAATGTTGTTCACAGATTCTAAAAAAAGTGACGAAGTGAAAAGCAAAAAACGGAAAGGAGCAAAAAACAGTGAGACAGCAGCAAAAGTGGCATTAATGAAACTGAAAATGCATGCATGTGGGGACAAGTCCTTGCCTCAGGTCAGTGATGTTTGTTTTCAATAACTGAATTCTCAGAGGAACTGGAAAGTTTTCTAAATTGCTTGATCTTCATCAAGTTCCCTCAGCTTGGTTTTGGATATAATTTTTCAAGACCACAATCCCTTAAATGTATATTTCAGCCTGGTATCCAAAAGCAGTCTCACTAGTCTATAAGATATCTGTGTGGGGTTTGGAGCAGTGGAGTCAAATTCTATTATTTTATAGCAGAAATATATTTACCTGCCACATGGCTGTCACTTAGCACTGCAGGGACAAATGGGTTTTGGGAATTCTTGGCAGAAAGATGACAGCACTAAGTTGTACTAAAGCTTATTATTTTAGCAGAATTTGATGATCAGCAGAGCACAGAATTTTATTATTAGACTAGAACAGAATTTCTAGAATCTCTGTAGCACAATTTTGTAAGTAGTGTGGCCCAGAATTTTATAGCAGTCTTAGCTTGTGGTTACTTAGCACCTGGACCCTTTGCAGATAGTGTCAAATCTCAATACTTGGCTAATAATATCAATATTTCACATCATCTAGCCCTGAAACATGTAATTGTTTGATACTGGGGCATTGCAGTGGACAGTGTAGTCTTATCATAAGAATGTGCCTTAAAAGTTTGATTTTGCTAATTTTGAAATTACTCATTCTTGGGAATTATCCAAACCTCAGTGAAAGTAAACAGAGTCTCCATTTAGCAACAGTTTTTCATGTGCCCTTTACTTTGGGAGTTAGTAAAGGGACAGACACATATTTTAAACTTCATAAGGGTAGTTAATAAGAACATCATCACCTTGAAAAAAGAGAAGGGCTGACAGTAGAGGGTTTGTTAGACATTTTACTGGTCAGAGAACAGGAAAATGAGCTTCTTCCACTGGGCATCTGGTGGATCTGGTGTGGATCTGGGTGTCTGGTTAAACATCAAACAGCTTTAAGTAGGGCTTTACCCCATTTTCCCATAAGGAAACTTTGCCCTAGAGCTCATTTTAGTGGACCATTCCACTTCTTGACTGCATCATTACTTTGAGGACAGGTGGAACACCCAGACAACTCCATGATCGTCCTACCATTCCTGGATTTTTTTTTTCTTTTTAATGAATGCCATTGTCAGACTGCACAGCAGAGGGCATGGGAGTGTTAGCAAACTGTTGATGAAATCCTGACAGAGTGGTAAAAAAAATCAGCTTTACCACAAGCAAAAGCTTTCCCTAAGCCTTCCTTATTTTATCTCCAGTAAGGGTGTAACACCACCCCTCGGGTGTTCAAGGGAGAAGTCCAACATAATTAATTTGCCAAGTGGACCAGGGGGCTTATTTCCTGCCCACAATCCATTTAGTCCCCAGAAAAGGTGACCTCCTGTGTGAGGCCCAGGCATTGTTTCTTCATCAGTTGTTCAAATAGTCCAGTTTGTGTTCCCCTGAATGCAGCTCACAGAATATCCATACTGAATGTATTTAGGTTTCCTGGTTGCATTTGCTGGTTTTGGGGGATGCAGGGAGACAAAAGAGAGTTCCAATTTTACCTTGACAATTGAGTAAGAAACCACTGCTCCATTTACTCCAGTTACCAATATTTTCTGATGTTTCAGAGGGATAGCTCCAGGACATGATTCTCTTTTCTTCTGTGTGGAAAACACTCCCAGATTTCAGGGAAAATGCACAAGTTGAAATTCAAAGTCAGTTTTATGAACATGACTGAGGTAGTTCCATATGTTCCTAGGTAACCCATCAATAAATCCTTCAAAAAGAAGACTTCTGTCTTGTTTGATAGTTTCTGGCTTTGAGTCAGCAAGGATGATCCTAAATTATAAATATATAGCAGTCATGCTATATTTTACTCCAGTCCCATTCAGAATCTCTCCCTCATAGATTACTCTTGACATTTCTTAAACAAATTTTTCAGTCTAGTAGAAAGAGTGTTTAGTACATAAAAGGAGGATACAGTACAGGATAAAGGATTAGCTAGTCATGATCTCAATTCTGGTTTGTGAAGCAAGCATTTCTAATACAGCGAACTGCTCTAACTGCTTTTGCATTCCAATTTGAGACACTATACTGCTGCCAAAACCAAATACTGCTTATTCAAACTCACCTTATTCTCATGAGGGCAGATACCTTTTCATGTGTGTCTATATATAAATGTGCTGTGGGACTGGTGGGAAGAGATGTTCTCTCCACCTTTAAGAACTTACTGTCCATCCTATATATGCCTGCAGCTGGAGAGGATTGGATTTGATGATCTTGGTAATTTAGAACTTTGCAATAAAATTGTTCTGATGGAATAAAACAAATTTCAGTTGGTAATTTTGGGGATGAAGTTTTAAGTTTTTTACTGAAAAACTTTAAAAAGTTTTAAGTTTTACTTTAAAAAAACTTACTAGATGTATATGACTGGAATGATGTGTTTCTTCTGTGGCTAATTTTTGTTTTATTTTTCATGTTTTTCTAGACAGAAAGAATTTACTTTCAAGTATTTTTACCAAAAGGGAGCAAAGAGAAAAGCAAACCTATGTTCTTTTGCAGTAAATGGAGTATTGGCAAAGTAGTAGATTTTGCAGCTTCCTTAGCAAGCCTTAAAAATGACAACAACAAATCAACATCCCAGGTAAGTCAGCAATAACAAACATTTTCCAGATTTTTGCATTTTGGTTTTAAGTTTTTCTTTAGCCTTTTGTGCCTCTCTCACCCCACTTCTTTCATCTTGGATAGGCAATTTTGGCATTAATTTCTGTGCTATTTGTTTTACAGAAACTTAGATTATGCCATACTGCCTCTGGAGAAGCCTTGCCATTTGAGCACACGCTGGAAACATGGCTATCTGATAAAGACTATCCACTGTACAATGGAGGGAATATAATTCTGGAGTATCTTGATAATGATGTTCTATTTATAGAAGATACAGAATCCTACTTTAGTTAGTCAATAAATTTTCACAAACAAAAAAAATCTAATATTTTTTAGAAGCACGGAATTAAAGCAAGTTCAGTTTTCTTTTAAAATCACTGGTATGCCAGAATCTGTCTTCCATTGTAAAGATACAATTCACATCAATTTCTCAGTTGCCTGACTGCAGAAGAACTGTGTCCTGCAAGGAAAATTATAACTAATATTACAGATATTCACATTCTAGAATAAATTCTTGCTCTATTGAGCTGTATAAGATCAAGAACGTTTTCTTAAATTTGGTATTTATTTTTGTGGAAGTGATGGGGACAGTATGTCTTAATAAATAATGAAAATGTAAACTTGCAGTATGACAGCTTTCTGAAGGAATGAAAGATATTATGCTATTGCAGTATCTTCTCTGCATCTACACAGACAGATTTGATTGCATTTGGAAACCAGCACTGTCTATACACCAGGTCCACATTTTCTTCTTGTAATAGTTTAATGACATTGAGAAGGAAAGCTTTATGAAGCAGAAGTAAATTCACTCAGGTGTCATCCTGATTGTAAATCTCATTGTGTGATTAGGTGGGAGATAAAAGATCTTGGTAAACCTGCCACTTATTTTGCTTTACAGTACTCTTTACTGTAGTTACTACTATTCATAACTGTTGTAACATGACTTAGAGATGAATAAATTACTGGATGTGGTATGGATGGCACACAAAGGGAGGTGGTTTTGGTTTCTACGAAGGAAAGGGTTTTCAGTGGATGGATATTTTGGAAATCTTTGTCTCCTGACAGCTGAAAGTACAGCAGCATTTTCCTGCTTTCTCCTGCCTATCTCTCCAGTTGTAGTCTTGCTTTCCAGTACAAGAGGAACAGTTCCTTTTTCCCTTGTTACTTGTTTTTCTCCCTTTCATCTGCGATTGTCTGTTCATCTTTCTATCTTAGGCTGCTGTGGTACAGAATATGCAGTAAGAGGCCAGCCAGCACTGTGGAACCAGTGAGTTGGGAAGAGCCCTAAACAGAATTTGTTCCCTGCACTGTTGCTACAAAAGCAATTGAAAAATGCTGCTGTGCAACAGGGTCATTTATCTTCTTTTTAGCAGAAAATCTTCATTCTGTACTTATACCCTTCCTCCTGCCCTTGATTTTTCTGCCTTAGCAGTTGCAGGCAAAATAATTGGAATAACACTTTTATGTGGATAAAGAGAAGATAGACTTGGGATACAGGAAGTAAATCTTTGGGGAGACCTCAAAGGTTTTACCAGGGTGGTTGCTTTCATCAATTGCCAGTAATGGCTAAGGGCTATCAGCCTGTAAATGACAGTACAAACATGGCAAGTCATAGTCGGTAAGACTCCAAAAAGTTTTCACTATCATCTTATTCCAGGAATGTGTCTAGGATTGTACACAGAAGCTCATTCCAGGTAATTTTCAGAAACTGAGAAGCAAAACCAAATTAATCTGACAGATAAATAATTGAGGTGAAAACTCCACCCTGATCAATGGTACTGGGAACAAAAGCAGAAACTTTTCCAGCCCTTTAGGATCTTGCCTAGGCTAGAATTGCTCTAATTTTACCAGTTTAGATTCCAGCATATCTTTACTTAGCATTTTGTTTTGTTTTGTTTTTGTTTTAAAACTTATTATTTTAGCATATTTTTCTACAGAAAGTTCAACAACTGCATGTGAAAAAAAACAAACCAAGTACTTTGGAGGAGTCCGTTTGCATTTGAAACCACTGTTAATTTTACAGGCCTGTGCTTAGAAGGTGCTGAACTGTTTCAATTCAAAGTTAATAAATAAAACTTTTAACTTGATGCAAAAAAAATCTATGTAAAGTTATGCAAGCAAGAAGAGGAATTAATAAAAAAAATACTTCCTGATTTTACCAGTGCTTTCAGACAAACTACAAAAATAAGCGAATATCAAGCATTTTAGTTGTTCTAACTGCAATTTTTAGAGACTGCACAAGGTCGAGGATTTACAAACATTTTATGAGATGCTGTGGTAGCAGCTCCTGGTCTTGTTCGCTTCAAACATTACTACAAGGTTGCCTAGCATGTGTTTGTAATATGCACAACAGGAAAGCATTGTATTAACACCAAGAGTTCAATTCTGCATGGATACCTGACCTGTTAGATCAGCTGGGCAATGCTGTAGTAAATAAGAAATAATGTATCACACTAAGACAGCAGGCAGTAAACTCTTCTACTTGGATTTTTGCAATTTTCTGTTTCTGTGTCTGTTTTGGAAAATAATGCACCCTGAGGTGTGATCAGTCTGGATTGCAGACCTGTTATCAATAACAGGCCACCTCTGTTCATCCAGTTATCAGGTGCCACATAAAAATACACCTTGCCGTATAGTTTTCCTCCTAGTAGCTTTGTATATAAAATACAATATTTCATATCAGCTGGAGTAGAAATTGTGGTTTGGATTAGGAAAATTCTTATATTTGTTAGGAGAGAACTTCAGGCATTCCTGTTTTACTACTGCTGATTTTAAGGTGAATGCAGAAATCTCTTGTAAAACCCTTGCTGTAATGTTAAGTATACATTAATGATGTCAAGCCATTTTTCGTAACAATTGTGCAGTCCTTTATAGATTGTACTGAGATATGTTCAGCTGCTTGCCTCAACAAAAATCTGAGTCTGAGTGCCTCTTTCAATGGTCTGTGTGCTTTTGGTATAACCTTGTAAAGAACGAATTGCAAAATTTTCAATGAAAACACGACTAATCATCTCTGTAATTCTTTAAAGACTGTGAATACTTCAAAAAGCAGGCTTATTCCTGAGATGGGAAGGAGGAAATGTGGAATTGCACAGTGACCTGCCCCACACAACAGATTCAATGAGAGTGGAAAATGTTTTTCAGTGATGTGAAAAGGACAAAACTTTTTTCCTTTGGCCTAGCTGTGCCTTGGGTTGGCATTGGGGCAGTGGGGTAAGACTGCTTCTTTCGGTGTGGTAGACATTTTATAATTATTTTAAGCATAAAACAAATTGCAACCCTTCCCTGTTTAGCCAGATCACCATTTAACATAGGACAGTCAGTTACATCACTTGGAATTTTTGAGGACAAAACAAGCCCTCTATGTTTTGCCTTTACTTGATGACAGAAAATAGGCTCAAAAGACTACAGGAAAAAAAAAAAAAAGAAAAAAGAAAAAAGAAAGTGGTATCAGGCTTGGAACGTTTTTTTCCTCTGTATGATTTTTAATTAATACTGAAGATGCATCAGTTGCACTGCAAATTCCTTTCAGAAATCGTTGAACTCTATGCACTCAGCCTCCGTGAGGGTTCTGAGGCGCTGGCACAGGTTTGCCAGAGACGATGTGGATGCCGCACCCCTGGAAGTGAACAGGGCCCGGTCGGATGGGGCTCTGAACAACGCGGTCTAGTGGCAGGTGTCCCTGGCCACGGCAGAGGGGCCGCTTATGATCTTTGAAGCTCCTTCCAACCCAAACCATCCTTTCAATTTTACAGTAAGCTTCAATCGCGTGCTCCACGGGAGAGCATTTACGGTATCGCGTCCCTGCCACGTCCAATTATTAACAAGAAGCCGACATCAAAGTCTAATTCCAACACTTTCCCTGCAAACTCTGACAGCGCCGGCGCCGAAGCTGCCGTTCCCGGCCGCGGGCTCCCTCACGCGCAGGCGCGGCCGCCACGGAGCGGCGGGGGAGGGGCCGGGCCCGGGGCCTCGCGCGCGGCGCCTGCGCCTGGGCGGGAGCGGCGGAGCGGGCGGGGGCGGTGAGAGCGGCGCGCGCCGCCGCCGCCATTTCGGGCGCCGTGAGGGGCCCCGCGTCCTGCAGCGCCACGGACGCGTCTGCGGCCCCGGGGCGGAGTGGGGCGGGGCGTGCGCTCAGCCTGCTTCCTCATTCGAACAGTACTCAAACCAGGCGAAGCAAAAAGCTTCGAATTTGTGAAAAAACAAGAAAGGAAATAAGCCATAATAATTTTTGGCATTAGTCTCTCCTATTGCTGGGCTTTTTATCTCGGGAAAAATGGCAGATCCCTGGCAAGAATGTATGGATTATGCAGTTGGTTTAGCAAGGAAAGCTGGGGAGGTATGTATAACCTCTTTATAAATAATAACATGATTTATTGAGTCTAATATGTATATAGCTTTTGAAGGTTGATGTTGGAATTTCTTTTGAAGACTGTTTCGTCGAAAACCTAAATGGGCAGAATAGTTTGTGATGTTCAAGTGCAAGATTAGAATGTCTTTTATGTTTGCAGCTTAATTAACTTAAGAAAACAACTTTGTGCTTTTCCTTGACCTGGAGTCCCGTTAAAGACTGAGGAGTAACTTTCGTTCCTTGAGTTTGATTTTAAAAATAAAATTGAGAATTGTGGTAAACAAAAAGCATCTCGATTTTCACCCTTAAACTACTGTGTGTCTTTTTATTTTACCACCTGAAAGCTGGTGACGGTCTTTCTTGTGAACACCCCAATGGCCCACAATACCATATGGTGTTCTCTCCATCCCTGGAAGTGTCCGAGGCCAGGTTGGACGGAGCTCTAAGTCTGGTCTAGTGAAAGGTGTCCCTGCCCATGGCAGAAGGGTTGGAACTAGATGGTCTTTTAAGCTCCTTCCTAGCCAAAAATCATGCTATGATTGTTTCTCTTCATGAAAACTGCTTTCCTTTTGTAAATAAGAAACATCCCTTACAGTGGTGATATTTTGCCATTTGAGAACAAGGAAAGGTTTGTGCATGTTGACGAAGCCTCAGCACAAGTGGTTACCAAATGTTTGGTTCTTAGTAGTTCTTCTTAGTACACTTGAAGGCTGTGGCAGCCAGACAAGACGGCACATGTACTAATTCTGTCCCCTGGAGCTGCAAAATCTGTGGAACATTGTCTCTGCAATGACCTCAATAAATTCTTCCCTCAGAAAATCTTTTTGAGTTACAGTACAATAATTATGTGGACTGTGAGGTATGGATTCTTGCTTAAGCTGATACTGATAGTTTTAAGATCATAATGCAGGGTCTGGCTAAAAAATAGCTGACTTGAGCTCAATGTTAGGTGCTTTATTCAACCCTGGTATTTAAATTTGTAAATCTAAAACTGGTCCAGAGAAAGTGGACCCCAGGCAGTTTCATCTACCTGGAGATCTTTCTGTAATGCTTAGATTTAAGGCCATGTAAAATTTTGTACTGAGTAGGGACTAGAAATACAAGTCCCAGGTCCTACAGTTAAATCCAGGTTACATCACTAGTTGTGTTTGTGTTTTGTGTGTGCAGTATAGAAAATGACCGCAAAAATGATGCTCAGGTTTTTTTGAAAACTAACATTTTTCACATTATTAACGCTGAAAGATTTTTTTTCTTTTTGTTTTAACAGATAATCCGTGGAGCACTCAAAGAAGAAATATCTGTTATGACTAAAAGTTCACCTGTAGATCTAGTGACAGAAACTGATCAAAAAGTAGAAAACTTCATTATTTCTTTGATAAAAGAGAAGTATCCTTCTCACAGGTATGGCTTGTATGGTTTTGACAGAAGAAAAATGGGAAGTTTATGATTTTACTTGGTAAAGTTTTATTACAACTGGCATGCTGGAAAGTTGTAGCATTACTTTCCATAAATTAAGTATTTTAAAGAAGCAGTGGGTTGAAGTTTTGCCCATCGTTGTAGTAACAAAATGAGGTGTCCCCAGGTCTGCTGACATGAGACAAGACATGCTGAAAGTCACTTCCACTTGAGCCAACTGTAATAAACTTTTTGGTTACTGTTTTGGAAAGTCAAATGTAGCCCCAGGAGACCTGGAACCCAAATTTCTTGTCTGCTTTTGAAATTAGTGTTCCTTTGCTGTCTGGGTGGGTTGGATCCTGTGGAACTGAGCGTGCCTTTGGCATATCTCATACAGTTTTACAACGTAAAAACATTCTTTAAAGACGACAGGATCTTCTTGTTCTGAAAGACTGTCATACAAAATACCGGTTTTCTTAATTGCTCTTCCCCTTTCTTCCCTTCTCTCACCCCTCTCTGTACCCATCCCCTGTAAAATGCATCCTTGAAGGGTATTCTGTATGTCTTTTCATTGCATGGGTCTGTCTTTAGCATTTTGACATAATGGCTTAATAATACAGTTTCCTCAAAGTCAGTTTGCTGGTTTTTTTCTTTCATTGTCTTGGAGGTTTTGTTACTGTAGCTGTATACGTGAAGTGTACGAAATCTGTGTAGAACTGGAACAGCTGAGGAGGTGCAAAAGTTCCATAACCAAATTAGTATAAGCATACAGACTTGTGGAATGACCTTGAAACACCAGTTTCTGTGACATTGATAAGCATTTTGGAATATTTTAGCTTCTTTTTATTTTAGGTAACCAATGTCACATTAGACATAATGGTGCTGAGCTTCTCTTCCTAGTGAATTACTCATCCACCTATATTCAGTCGCGCTTTTCTGAAGGTCTGCTGCTTTTTGGAAACATGCTGTTTCTTTCTGATTAGTCATCTTCACCTCTGTAGTTAATCATAAAACTCCCAATCAATATTAAAGGCACCTTATTTGTTTCCTCTCAGCAATTACTTTACATGTTTTTGGAGGAAAACATGTGTTTGCTGCAAACCTTTCATAGGTTGAGTAATGTGTGATAAATTGTGACAACCTGCAAAAGGCCTGTAAGAGAATTCCACCCACTTAGACTCATTCTGATAATTTTACAGTCTAAAACACTTTCATGAGCAGCAAAACTTGAGAAATTTGGGCTGCTGTGACACTGTGACTTCTGTGTCCCTCGGGTTTAGTCCTGTGGCTGAGCATGAGCTTCAGGAACTCTGGTTTGAATTTCATCCCTTTACCGTGTTACCATTTTGTCATGCTTGTAAAATTACAGTTTTGAGATTAACAACTTTTGGTCATATTTGGGTTGAAATCAGTCTTCAAATTTACAGCTGCTTAATTGTTCTTACCAGGTACATAAGACCACAAAGGCTTTCTTCATTGAAAACACAAGCTACAAAATAATATTGTATAGTACGAATAAGCTGAAAGGTGTAAATCTCTGTACGTTTTTTGAACAAAATTTGATGATGTTGTTACTGGAAAAAATTAAGAAAATGTCAGTGTTCTGAATGCTGAATTCTGGTATTATTTCTATGTTGAAACATAATTCTTTTCCCCACATATTGTGCTTATCCTTGGCGTCATAAATATTCATGTAAGCTTGGTCAGATATGGTTGGTGATTTCCAGATAAATAATGTATTTCTCAGATTTTTGCATTTGATCACTGGTGGTACTCAAAACTTCATCTCATTTTGTCTTGACATTGAAATTCTAAAATGTTGTAAATCAGACATTTTAAACAATTTCCGTCTTTTAAATGTGTTTTTACTGTAGCTTTATAGGAGAAGAATCTGTTGCAGCTGGAGAGGGCAGCATTCTGACAGATAACCCCACATGGATTATAGACCCTATTGATGGAACTACCAACTTTGTACACAGGTCCATCTTTCTTTTTTTTTATTTTGGCAACCTCAACTGATTACCCTTTTTCTTTGTCCAGTTCCATGAGAGTAAGGTTGTTTTTAATTTTTAAACTTTTTTAATTTTTAATTTTTAAAAGAGATACTATGAACTTGTTAATAGTTAAAAATTGCTACTTATTGAGAGCCTTTGGGCAGATTTTGCAAATATTTTAGTATTCCCGTGAGTATTGCAATAGTCTTGCTCTGTTAACTACATCAGTTGTTCCATACGAGGCCTGTATTATATAGTAGGGGTCAGCAGCCTTTGGCATGGATTCCAAAGATAGATGGGCAGATTTTAACAGGAACAGGATTCAGAATAAGAAGTTGTAGCATCTTCAGAAAGGGAATAACAGTTTCAGGTACTGATTTCTAAGAAATTTCAAATCCATTGAGATCTAGGAGCCTCAGTTATGAAAGAAAGCAGTCTATCACCAGTAATTATCAGTGGTATTTCACACCAAGATGAGGAGGGGGCTTACAGAGTAATGCTGACAGCCTATTCCTTATATCTTTTAAATGTGATAGATTTGGGCCCCAGTGAGCTTTTCTGAGCCTTTTTGATTTCAGTTCTGGAATGACTGCTGCTATGTACACAAGGGCTTTCAAATGGCTTTCACCTTTTGAATCCTGCTAAATAACATGTTCAGAAAGTTGAAGAAAAGAACCCATTCTGCTGAATCTACTGGCTTAGAAGTTGGTATTTTTTGCAGAAAGAATAAAAGCAAATGTTTGGGAATTGAAAAAAAAAATTAATTGGTTGATTGTTTCAAACTTAGACTGAGATGCAATCCACCATGTCTTACATAGTCCCACTGTCTTCACTCTTCCTGCAATCTTCAATATCTGTCTTCAATATCATGGCTTTGATGGAGAAAGGGGAGGTGGAGGGAGAGGTAACTTGGTTCTTTTTATGAGATTTTGTTCCTTCTGAGGAAGGTTTAGTAGCATAGAGGCTTGTTTGCATTCTTTGGCTGTAAAAAACCAGTCCCTAGGCTAGGAACAGCTGTAACAGGAATGGCATCCCCTAGTGTGTATAAAAGTTTGTGTTTCAAATGGTAATCAGTGTAGTTGGCTCTATTTTCAGCTAAATTGTGGAAATTCCAGAAAACTATGTTCTCTATAGTCCCAGTATGTTTTTGAAATATACATTACATTTAACTGAACACTGTCTTTATTAAGAGTAAGCATGGTAAAAAAATTTGGTATCTCACTATAAATTAGTGAATGTTTTGTTTTGTAGGTTTCCATTTGTGGCAGTTTCAATTGGCTTTGTTGTAAACAAAAAGGTATACTTTTTATTACTTAATATCTAATCACATCTAAATTAATTGCTTGCTGCTAGTTACAGCTAAGTTCTGTAATTTCCTACTTTACAGTAAATAGAAAGAAAGGGAAAAACCATTTCCTCAAGGTATTTTTCCTTTTTCTTGCAGATAGAGTTTGGAATTGTGTATAGCTGTATAGAAGACAAGATGTATACTGCCAGAAAAGGAAAAGGTGCATTTTGCAATGGTCAGAAACTTCAAGTATCAGGCCAAGAAGGTAAGCAAACTGAGTAGCCTCTTTCTGGTAATTACGAGATTGCAAGTGAGACAGGAGAAATTTGGATATATTGGTATTTCTTAGCTCATAGTTTTGTTTTGCAAGACTTTCTTTGGCCATGGGCTGTTTAATTTGAGAAACGCTTTTTATGTTCTCTTTGGTGCATATGATGTGATCTGTGCAAAATCAGGACTCAGCAATTGAAGATTTTTATTTCCCATGTATTGTAGTTTTGTTAGTTTGTTTCTTTAATTCCCTGTATGTCTGCAATCTGTTTGAGATTGTTCTTTAGAGTGAAAAAAATCTGCCAAATAATTCAGCTTCTCCCAGGTGGGACCTATTGGTTTAATTCAGTACCACTCGTGTGCTTAGAATTCTTCATCAAGTAAAATCCATGCTTCAAATGAGATCTTCAAGTATCTCAGGGCTGTTTTAATTTATATAGCAATAGGATTTTATTTAGTACATCGATTAATGTATATGCACAGTTGGAGTAGGTCATGCTTCTTTCATTGTATTTTATTTTTTCCTGCCATTTTCCAAATAATAACAGATTTTTATATGTTTGATATTTGTAATATTTTATTAAGATACTTTAATTCAGTCGTGTAAGAAAGCAGTGAAGTAAACTGCCAATTACTGTGAGTATTTAAGTTGTGCTGTTGGAAGAGTGAGGTTTTGTTTCTTTTCCAGACATTACAAAATCCCTTTTAGTAACAGAATTGGGGTCAAATCGTGATCCAGAGGCTATAAAAATAATTCTTTCTAATATGGAAAGACTTCTCAGCATTCCTATTCATGGGTAAGATGCTTCCTAATTTTATGTATATTTATATATGCTGACAGGTTAATATTGTAAATATAATTTTTAGAAAGCTTTGGTTGCATTGTATTTGACACCTTAAATATGAAATATTATTGAAATGTTTCTGTCTAGTAGCTTCCACAGAGAAACTGTTTTTAACTTTTTCAAGCTGAGACATGCAGAAGAGAGCCCTAACAATCAGTGTTGAGAAGCAATGCATGTCTGGGCTTGCAGGACTACAAAGTGTTGTATTTACTAGTTAAAAAAATTAAATACAATCCTGTGGGGTTTTTTTTCCCCTAGATAAAACTGGATGAACAGAAGCTATATTACATTTTTTAGTTTCCTTTCCTTGTAGTAATGAAAATAGTTTTATATTATGTATATAAGACAAAAGTAGATACCCGTTCCTCTTTCAATGCAAAGCAATTTTAGTTTGTCTGAGTAGTTTAAATTATCCATAAACTGCTCTTACTTTGGTTGCATTTCCTGCTTCTTCTCCTCTAGATAAGCCAAAGTCTACATTTCCACAAACCATTCTGTAAAAAGTTGATTTCAGTAGACAGTTTTTCGTTACTCAACCCTAATCATGTTTCTGATCTAACAAGTTTTATGCTGAGATTCTCAGGATTCTTGTTTTGACACTTAACTTGTAGATTGTTTTCTACTTCCAAAAAGTCTTCTGATGTTGTTAAAGAATATATGCTATGATGTGAGTAGGAAATACATTTTAGATGCATTGTGAGTTCATCTTAGGCATTTTATTTGTACACAATTGTTTGAGACTGGAGTTAATTTAAGTTGCTTCTTGCAATACTTTAGCTGCTATCAGTTACAATTTAATTTACTGTTTTAGTTTACAGTTAAGTGAAATAACTGCAGTTTTTTGTACAAGCCACACTTACTTGCTAAGTACATTGACATTTCCAAAAGAAACTGGAATTTGTGACATGAGGGTTTGGTGAAGTTGTCCACACCAAATTTATGCTGTGTAATTTATTTTTTGTGATTACTGTTTAGAGGGTTTGGCAAGTCAGAGATGTTTACTGAGCATCACCAGAGAAACTGAAAAAAAATATGGGATTTTAGCACTGAAAAGTGTACACTCTCCTTTTATTCAGAGAGCATCGTAGACTGTTACTGTTTCATGGGAAATAATCTTCCATAATATGTTTTAGTTTAAGAAATCACTTAAGATGTGATTAAACAAAAATCTGTTTACAGAATCTGTAAATGCTATTTCTAGAAATTTGCTGTATTTTGAAAACTCTTCAAGCTACTTAAACAATATTTTATTCCCATTTTTTTATGTTTCACTGCAACATTTCATCATGCTTGCTCTAGTTCAGTTTACTTCCATCATGACATTACCGTGTTCTCTGTGCAGTGTACCCAGACACTTTTTTGCAAACTCTTCTGAGTTAGAACAATATCTTCTATCTCCTTTAGGATTAGAGCTGTTGGTACAGCAGCTGTGAACATGTGCCTTGTGGCAACTGGTGGAGCTGATGCCTATTACGAAATGGGGATTCACTGCTGGGATATGGCAGGAGCTGGAATAATTATTACTGAAGCCGGTGGAGTACTGCTGGATGTAACAGGTAAATACACGGGCCTGCATAATATTCTTTTGTCCTTTTAAATGCCTAATAGGGAGCAAAATGTAGCTGAAATGAGAAGGCAAGAAGTTCTTTTCAGTCCTCTTTCCAAGCTACCACTACTGAACAGTTCCCAACCCATTAGTAGATGTAGAACGGGCTAATTGTATGTTCTTAAACAACAAGGCAACCTTTACTCCCTTGGCTGGACTCCTGGAAAAGTGAGAAAAGACAGTAAACATACACTGAAGAGAATTTAAATGCAGCTCATACAAGATACTTTTTGTGTTAAAAGCATTTTTGTTCAGAGGAAAAACTTGGTCCTAAATAATAATATACAATTTACACTCAATTTTTTCAGTGCTTGTTTTCATACAAGCTCTTTTATTTTCTTCATATATAAACTGGTTGCTTTCTTTGCTTTGCTTTCTAGGTGGACCGTTTGATTTGATGTCCCGAAGAATAATTGCAGCAAGTAGTCGAGCTATTGGAGAGAGAATAGCCAAAGCACTTCAAGTAATTCCTCTGAAAAGAGATGATGCAACCAACTGAGCACCAAAGCTGCACCATAAATGTCCTTATCTAATGTTGTCTTATATTCCCACATGGTGGTCGTTCTACACCTTGAATAGATGGTAGTGTATCAGTACTGGTGTGGCTGCTAAGTAGAGCTTTGAGATTGAACAACATTCTAAGTGAGCTTTAACTGTTGAGCTTTTATTTAGCATCACAATTAGATAAAAATCTGGAAAAATAAGCAAATATATGCAGCTAGTATTTTCAAATTTTATACAACACTGGAACACATAGCAAGAGACTCTGATGTATAGATAAATAAAGCTCTCGAGTTTCTGTAAGTGACAAAACCAAAACCCACTGTTGTAACACCGCATCATCACATTTGATTCTGAACCCCAAAAGGTGAAGGCATTACTGTTTATCCAGTCTTTCTCTATCTGGTCTCCACTCATTGCAGTTTTTGTAGAGCTGGTTCACACATTTCCAAACCTGTTGGTTGTTTGTAGTTTTGGCTACAATTTAAAGCCTTTATTACTTACCTATCATTGATTTTGTAGTCATCATTCTACCTTTATGACGGTAGATGGACACAATCTCTTCTTTAGCCTCGTATGTGGTCAGTACATTTGCAAGTCCCTTACAATTTCAAAAGTAATAGTTATTGTGCTGGAAAATATGTGTATCTTCCAGAATTAATTCTGAGTACACTTATCACCAAGTATACTTACTGGAAATTAACATGCAGTCTGATTCACATTTGTTAATTTTGATTGGGATTCTTCATGGATGAGTGTGTTTCTTAAATCCAAGAGAGTTTTCAGTAGTTGAGCTGGGAAAAAAATAAGACCATAGTCCATATTTTTTACATAATTCTCTAATTTTTCATATTTTTTCATAAGCTACAAAATCAATGACCAACCAAGACCAGGTTTTCATTGTGTTACATTGTGTTTTACAGAATGTACGCAGAGGAAGGTATATACCAGAACCTAAAGGATTTGTAATTTTAGAAATACTAGTGATTTAATTCTAGGTGTCACTTGTAAACTTTGAAAATTATACTGGTTCTCTGCATTTTTGTATTTAAGATTGTTAAAAGCATCAGTGCACTGTTCAGATAATTAATGCACTTTAAAAAAATGTCAGATTGGTTTTTAGACTGATGTTTTGGGTTTTTTGTGTTGAAAAGAAAGTAGTCTCATTGGTCGTTTAGTTAAGACAGCAGTGCTTCAGAAAACCTGACTTTTTGTGCTGCTGTCTCACTATTTCTACTTTGAAACTAAGTTTGCCATTTAGCTAAGCATTATCTTCTCAGATAACTCTTTAGTATGTGCCCGCTTCTTTTGTCATGGGAAAGGACACTGAAATGTAATTATTAAGTTTAAAGACATTTTGTTTCTGTTCTAGCCTGCAATTTTGACCAGTTTCAACAGATTGCATATTATGTATCAGGTTTTTATATCAGTTGATTTTTGCAGATTTTTCAGAAATGTTAAATTTTAAGATGTATCTAATACCAGATGATTAATGTTAATAAGGTCTGCCTCCTATTTAAAGGTCTTCCCAAAAATCCAGACTTAATTACTTTACTTTTTGAATTCCTGTTGACAAGGATGTAAACCTTTTGAGCATTTCACTGTAACTTTATTGCTGCAAACAGTGTGTGGGGGGTCATGGTTATTTTTGAGATGTTCTCTGTACAATTTCTGTGACTTTTGTATAACAAAGTCTGCATAACTTTATTTGTGAAATGGAGATATGTCTAAAAAGTACTTAGGATGGAAGAACGTGTTAGAAATAAATACACGTAGCAGCAATGGCTTTAGCTGTGCTTCTTTTCTTAGCATTCATCAGGTCCAGTGCTGTGACCCATCAAGCTAGATCTGTGGGCCTCAAATTGTCTGAGTTGAACACTTTTTCTTCTTGGCCTCTGTGCACAGATGATAAACTGTTGTGCCTTTAGATGTAGGATAATGTGTGCACCTGCCGTTGGGTTTTGGAGTATTTCAACATGTTGCATGAGATCATGGTTCATAAACCAACTCCAATCTCAGTCTCAAACTTTTTGGATTATCTTGCCAGTCATTTGTGTTGGAGGTCTGTCAGCTGGTTGAAGTGTGTAGCGTTCTCATTATTAGCTTTCCTAATAATATTACCTGAGGAATTTTTTTTTTATGATTTTCTTATCTTGGCTATCTTCACTCTGTGTTGGAAACGAATGTAATTTTTTTTTTACTCTCTACGTGGCAGTCTTTATCAACTATCTGCTTGCTTTTTTAATTTCAGCCACGTTTTCAGGAGGATCAGCAATCCTAGTTTGCCACTTAGCTAAGCATTATCTTCTCAGATAACTCTTTAGTATGTGCCCTCTTCTTTTGTCATGGGAAAGGACACTGAAATGTAATTAAGTTTAAAGACATCTTGTTTCTGTTCTAGCCTGCAATTTTGACCAGTTCTTGTAACAGAGATGTCAAGACTGTTTTCAAAATACTTTTGACAGTTTATATATGAGGTAGTCCCTGAATGTTCAAAACTATAGGAAGTGTGGTTTTGTTGCTTTGCAAGATGGAGTGGCAGAATTCATTCTCTTAGATTTTTTTCTTAATAATTTAAGGTAAAATTATTACGAGATGTCTCATTGCCCAGCAAAAGCTAATTGGAAAGGAAGGGCAGTTACCACAGATTGAACAGACAAACTATCACCTTAAGGTCATGAATATTTCTCATGAAGATCAAGGTCAACAATCAGGTATACAGAAGACTTTCTTGCATAGCTTTTCAATGAATAACATAGGACTTCAGCTGGCAAATTCCACTGTGGTTTGCACCTCAGCTCTGAGTGAAGAACACTCAAAATTTAGAGATGCAAGAAGATCAAGTGGACAGAGTCAGCAACTGAAGCAAGTGAAAAAGTTAAAAAAATACTACTGGAAATTAAGGGACCGTATGAGGAAATTATACCAGTCCCTTTGCCTTTACTTTGAGAATTTAAATCGTAAACATTGCCACTACAGTTACTACAGAGCCTCCTGCTCATCTTAAGAAAGGCCTTCAGAGTAGGGGACTGATTCTTAGCCCAACACTAAAACAAAAGTACCACAAACTAGGTAATAGTGACTTCTAGCACTGCTGTGTATGCAGCAGGGGAGGTGGCCTTCATCTACAGTCCTGGCAATCATCCATCACTGGCCCTCTCCGTTTATTGATTTGCTGATAATTTGTGATTGTTTCCTATGACGGCCTGCAGAGCTTTGCTCTAGCTGCAGAACAGAGTATTCCAGTAGATGCAATCCTGCAGAGCTTTTCCAAGCATGAAATATTGCCAAGGTCACAAAAGGCTTCAGGCTCTTGCCCAGCCCTCTTAAATATCCCTGCAGAAAATCCCTCCTCTGCCCCCCCCCCGCCCCCCTCATGGAATATGGACTATCCCTCGTAATATCTGTTACCTAAAGCTGTGGTTTAATTTTGCTTAGTCTAATGTCCATGGGAACTAGGCATTCTGACTAGATGTAAAATGTCATGCTGCCTTGGTAATGAAGCATTTTAAATAAGGAACATCTCTTCCTGAGGTTCTTCCCATGGTCTCAAAGCCAGCTGCTGGTTCAATTGTATTCATTACCTGTGAGTAATAAACTTCCTTCACAAGTCTGATTTCTGTAGCTAAACTGCTGGCAGACTATTCTCCAACAGTTTTGTGTCTACAGCAGCTGGCATGGCTCCTTTATTTGCACAAATGCCAAGTATCACAAGGACGTCAATAATGTGACACCTCAAGAGTGTCAGCTAGATCTGAATGGCTAAATCCATTCCACCTCTGGACTGCTGCTTGTCCAGCACCGAGGGCAACAGTGTATGTAAGTCTGTCACATCACTCTCCAGTTTGCACTACCTTCACACAAAGATCGGCAGCTTCTTAAAGATCCACAGGAGCTTCTGAAATGTCCTCTGTGCCCACTGCTGGCTGTCCGCCTGCTAAAACAACAGAGCAAAGAAAATCTGACACACTTCAAAGCCATGTGCAGCATTTGGAACAAACGGATTGGAGGACTGCACTCAGCCGAGAGCGCATTATGGCACTGTATGAGAGAGCTACAATTTGAGGAGGAGAATGGATTCATGAATGGAATGCTCTCTCCCCAAGCAAAGCAGAACTAAATTTCTAGCACAATTCAAGCTATTAGGGTGTGAAAAATAACGGTGAGTGTACATCCTGTTTCAGAAGCTTACAGTCTCTCTTGATGACTGGTACATTGCCTACATACACTGTGTCATATTTACTCTTGGTGTGCACAATCCCAATTGTGATGACTTTTACACCGAGGTGATTCTCTCTATACAAGAGTTACTTTAATTGGGAATCGGGCCTTCTGTGTTCCTTCCCATTAAAGTGGAAGGAAAAGAGGAAGAAAATGCAATAGCAAGGGCTGTGCCGCAGCAATAGGTAAGCCAACCTCCCCTTTTCATGCAGCGGAAGATTAAGGTTTATGTTTATTCACTCCTTAGCTCAGCAAAGACTACGCTTACAACCATGTGAATCCCTTTATTTAGAAGTGGTTGTACAGCAAATACGTGAGAAACCATTTCACAGGAGCTCTTCCTCAGCTTTCTGGGTTGCATCTTCCCCTGCTGCTGTTTCCCCGTGGCCGCGGCCGCAGGCGGAGGGCGCGGCGGGTCGGGAAGATGCCCGAGCCCGCAGAGCCGCGCCCCTCGCCGCTCCCGGCACAACACTAGATGGCAGCCGGAGCCAGGGAAACACCGGGAGGGAAACGCCGCGCTCCTTTGCTTTTGAGAGCATTCCCTTTCCCACGCCTCCTTTCCACCCTCCTTCTGCTCCCTGTAGTTATTGTTGGATACAAAAACTGAGAGTTATTCAGAAGAATTATGCCAGACGTTTTGAGGATTTTAGCTTTGTTTTTCTGTGACTTGAGAAGGAGTGTGAAACAGCAGAATTAACGTTCCCTCCTTTTCAAAGTATGTTGAAGATTGTGGTATCGATCACAAAAGATCGCAATTCTGAACTCTAAAATAAGATAAAAACCATACAAGTCATTGGATTATACTGCATTTAAGGCTGTAGTATTTTCCTTTGTATTTTTGCTGTCATAAATTAGGACATGGCTTTTTTAAAGCCTTTCTTTAAGCCTACTAGATAATCTTCTGGGCACGCATGTATTAATCTGTGTGCAGATACAGCCCTGAGAAAACAAACCCAGACACAAATAAACAGGTCTTTATGAGTTTTGAGATACAACAGTTTTATTTTCCAAACACAGGCTCAATATTTTGCCTCCAATTGTGTTTTGATCATGTAAAGAAACTACAGTAGCTGTGTGTGCATTGTCCCTGTACAATAGTACATTCAGACTATATTATTCAGGATCTGCTCAGGCATGGAC